TTGGTGGCAAAGTTGGTGGAAGGAATGGAGGTAGAGTTGGTGGCAAAGTTGGTGGAAGGGTTGGAGGTATAATTGGTGGTAAAGTTGGTGGTAAAGTCGGAGGGAGAGTTGGTGGTAAAGTTGGTGGAAGGAATGGAGGTAAAGTTGGTGGAAGGAATGGAGGTAAAGTTGGCGGCAAAGTTGGTGGTAAAATTGGTGGCAAAGTTGGCGGCAAAGTTGGTGGAAGAGTTGGAGGTAAAGTAGGCGGCAAAGTTGGTGGAAGGGTTGGAGGTACTTTAATTCTTGGCTTGCAATGTACTCTTTGCCTTACACTATTCAAGATATTCAGATCGGCATTAATTTGTGGACTTACATCAACCCCGGTGAAGACTTCATTATTGTTGCCAACAATATCAGCACCGGATATGCCTAAAAATAATTAAATAATAGCAGTGTTAAGAACATTTGAGTACGATTGGAATAATGACAGCAATACTTACGCTCCTGCACATTGCCGATATTGTTCTCACCACAGTCCGTTTCACCATCCGAACCGGGCAACAATATATTCGTCACACTAGATGGATCTTGCAAAATGTCGCCTACAAGACCGGTAAGCTGCTTGACTTGATTGAGCACTTGCAAATTCACACCCACTTGTGGCTTAACTTTGGCCAAAGTGCTTACCTTATTGTTGTCACCACGAATAACGGTAGCATCATTGACTAAGTGAGAGTAAAATTATGGGAGATTATTGTTTATAATTAATCTTTCTAACAAAAAAAAAAAAAACACGTACTTTGCTGTCTACCGCCGATATTACTGCCACTGCCGCCTCCACCCAGTAAGCCGCCAAGTAATCCGCCGCCGCCTCCACCTCCAGAACCGGTTTGCGTAACTGCATTGAGTAAGTCAATGTTGAGATCAAGTTGTGGTGCCACATCGGCCAAGGTAAACACCTCATTATCTGACCCCTGAATCACGGTTCCGCTATTTTCTGTAAGGCAAATGGAGAAGTTTACCAGTGATGCCACTAAAATTGAAAGTAATTTCAAGTGTGTAAGGTCCAAATTTACTTACGTGTTTGACTGCCACCAATATTATTGCCAGCGACTAAAGCGCTTCCTGGTAGCACTGGTCTGCCTGCTACTGCTGAAAGTTCGGGAAAATTGAAATAATTCTATAACAACTACAACATAAACTTACCACGTTGCACACCACCTGCTGAACTGGTATCACCATCAATGCCGCCTTGTATGCCACTGGATTGCTGATTCACCATATTCAAGGCATTAACATCGGCATTCACTTGTGGATTAACATTCAGTAAGCTGCTAACGGTATTCCCACTGCCAATTATATTGGTCCCAGTATCCACTAAAATATGAAAGCAAAATTAGAAAAAACTCAGCATGACAATTTAAAAGATGAGAATACTTACTGACTTGCTTGCCACCGATATTGCGGGTCGCACCGCCCAAGCCGCCGAGTAAGCCTCCTAATAAGCCACCACCTGAACCGCCACCACCGCTTGCACCAGTAACTGTTTGTGTAACCGAGTTTAATAAATTCACATCAGCGTTCACTTGTGGATTCACATTCGCGAGACTCGAAACCGTATTGCCATCGCCAACAATGCGAGTCCCTGTATCCACTGGAAACATCAAGGTACGATAAATTTACGGAGAAATTTTTATAAACAAAAAGTATTCTACAATACCATAAGTTCGATCACTTACTGGCTTGCCTGCCACCAATATTATTTGCTCCACCACCGAGCCCACCAAGTGCACCACCCAATAGACCACCACTTTTGCCCGCACCTCCACTGCCTGTGGCACCAGAAACGGTTTGTGTAACAGTATTAAGAAGATTTACGCCAGCATTAACTTGTGGATTGACATTGGCGAGACTCGAAACCGTATTGCCATCGCCTACAATGCGCGCTCCAGTTGATTCTACAGCAAATAAAAATCTTCAGTATTTCTGTCTTACAAATCAGAAGTACTCTGATATATCTGGGAACTTCACTTTTCACTACTTACGAACTTGTTTGCCTCCAATATTGTTCCCAACACTACCTAATCCAGTTGCTTTTGCGCTCCCTGTTCCAGTAGCACCACTGACTCCGCCCGTAGCTCCAGTAACAGCTCCCAGACCAGTCGCTTTCTGTCTAACAGAGTTTAGCGCATTAACATCTGCGTTCACTTGAGGATTGAGGTTTAAGAGACTAAACACTTGGTTGTTACTTCCTTGTATTGTACTGCCCGTATCCACTAATAAAAAGTAATTGAATTGGTAAGTGATCTTTTAAAACAAGAAGGTGGTGAATATAATACTTACTGACTTGCCTGCCACCAATATTGTTTGTAGCACCGCCGACTCCACCAAGGCCACCACCTAAGAGTCCACCGCTATTAGCACCACCTCCTCCACCTGTATTAAGCTATTATTAGTAAAAGCTATATCTCGGAAGATGGATTGCATATTTCTGCTAATAAAGGTGTAAAATAGTATTTAAAAATATTCTACTCCTTTCGATAGCTATTTTTCGTAGAAAAATAAAATCAGATTTAGCTTGGAAGCTAGTTGGTCTTGAAAAGTGTGCTTACATCGAGTATGTTTTTGGTAAACTTACAAACTGTTTCTTAGGCTTCTACAAATGAGAGCCGAACTCTATTACGCTAGAAGATAAGAGAGTCGTTATACCTTAGTATATAACTAGCTAATAGCCTCACAATACACTTTTTTCAATTATTTGTAAGGAACAAATGTATTGGATACTGGCATATGCACCAACATCACCGCTTGATACTTACGAGCTTGGCTGCCTCCGATATTGTTTCCGCTTCGTCCGGCCGCACTACCACGAACGGTTCCTTCAGATACACCAATTGCTTCTTGATTTACAGTGTTCAACGCATTTACATCCGCATTAACTTGAGGATTAACATTCAGTAAGCTGCTAACGGTATTTCCACTGCCAATTATGCTGGTTCCAGTGTCCACTAAAAGTAAAAAATCCCATAAAACGGCTATCGCGAATGACTAAATCTAAGATGTTTGGAAGCAGTGTCACAAATTCGGGCTAAAATATTTCTTATCTAAGAATTATATGCTAACACAGATTCTAACATTTTCTTCATGATACCATAGTCGACATTGAACTATATACTTACTTATTTGCTTCCCTCCAATATTATTTGTGGCACCTCCAACACCACCTAGTACGCCACCTAAAAGTCCCCCGCTTTTACCAGCACCTCTACTGCCCGCGGCACCTGAGACTGTCTGAGTCACGCTATTGAGCAAATTTACACCTGCATTCACTTGCGGATTGACATTCGCGAGACTCGAGACAGTATTACCATCGCCGACAATGCGAGATCCAGTGGACTCTACAGCAAATTAAGGTGGTCAGTATTTGTCTTCTGTTAATTCCTACAACTCAGAAGTACTCTGATATGTCTAGGAATTTATTTTTTCCCTACTTACGAGCTTGACTGCCTCCGATATTGTTTCCAGCACGACTTAGTCCCGTTACTTTTGAACCACCTGTTCCTGTAGCATGACTAACTCCACCAGCAGCACCAGTAACACTGCCCATACCAGTTGCTTTTTGAGTAACAGCGTTTAGCGCATTAACGTCCGCGTTCACTTGAGGATTGAGATTCAAAAGACTGAAAATCTTGTTGTTACTTCCTTGTATGGTACTGCCTGTATCCACTAATAATCGGGAGTTGGGTCGGTTAGTGATCTTTTCGAAATAAACCAAGATCGTAATGTAATTGAATACTTACTGACTTGCCTGCCACCAATATTGTTCGTAGCACCGCCGACTCCACCAAGAACACCTCCTAAAAGTCCACCACCTGCTCCGCCTGTGGCTCCTGAAGCCGTTTGTGTAACTGTGTTTAGTAGGTTTACACCAGCATTTACTTGCGGATTGACATTCGCGAGACTCGACACAGTATTGCCATCGCCGACAATACGCGCTCCTGTGGATTCTATTAGGAAAAAAGAATTTATCAAATTTTTTGTATGTTTGAATTTTTTTCCTTACGGAATTGGCTGCCACCAATATTATTCCCAGCACCTCCACCAACAGGACGGCTTATACCCTGTCTCTTATACACATCTCTTATACCAGCAAGGTTACCTGTCTTGCCGGCACCACC